CATCGTGTGCGAACTCAACGGTACAGTCCTCGATCGACCCATCGCAGCATTCCGCATCATTCCGTATTTCACGCGCAAATCCATACCAATTCCCGAAGATCTCAAAGATGTCTCGACAGAGTGCCTTCGAGAACTCGAACTATCGAATTCTCTAGGCGACGACGATGATGAAGTCGAGGAAGCCAAAGAACGCGATGAATAGAGGTTCTTCCCTTACTTGTACAACATGATACGTACTTTCTTCTCTCCATTCCTGCTCTCACGTTATGCAATATGTTTGATTTTCTCCTACGTTCTAGACCATCCCTTGTACGAATATCTTCGATTCAACTCGATAGTCGCAATATCGTTCGACGTTCTACGAACGCTTCGATTCGACCGTTGCGCGGAGGCTCACCTTAGACGAGTCCTCCTAGGCTGTGATGACAAACTGAGCCCATATTTTCATTAAGTCCATTTTCCCTTGCTACAAACATTTCTATTTCACCTTTTATGTCCTTCGATCATATTACAACTTGCTTCGAACACACTTATTTTCAATTCCTTTTCTTAGTTCACACTAGGTTTTGTCTAGGCCAAGGGCCACATTTTTGATTCGACTATCGACGCGATATTTTATGACATGATTGCAACTACGATACAAAATGACGTGTGCCATCGCATAGTTATCGTCGACAGCCCCGCGCACAAAACCGATTCCTCCTTTTGCGAGCGCAGCCTTCTCCATCTTTTGGAGGTCGAGGTCCATGTCATGGAGGAGTGCTCGACGGCGAGCGATGTGAGCGCGCTCCTCACGGATGACGCGAATGATCCCCCAAGACTCGTTGTCAAGGTCGAGCGCGTCGAGGTCAAGCACGTTGAGGTTGTCCTGTTCGAGGCCAAGGCGGCTGGCCCCATCAAGAGGCAGTCGTAACAGGGGGCGCGGAGGCTCTTCGACGCGACGCTTCTTCAAGCCACTCGAATCCGCAACCGAAGGCCCAGGAGAGGTCGGCCGAACTACTAAGTCGTCAGCGAAAGCCTAGGACAAGAAGAAGAAACGACTTACTGCGCTTCTTTGTGGTTGATCCCCCGCCACGCGTTTTCTTTGTCTTCCCAAGCACAGACACCTTGTCGAAGTAGCATCCCTGCTGGAATTGCGCGCACCTCTCGCAGGTTGTAGCATTCTCGACCCACACGCATTCGACCGGGGCCTAGCGGTAGCCGGCGCAACGATCACACTATCAAGGAGTTAGCATCGAACAGCTTCGACAAAGAGTCGAGCTTACCTTCTGTCCGGCCTGACGCTTCTCAATCGCCACGGCAGCCATGTCGGCCTCCGTCATCGTAAACGGGCGTTCGACTGCCCGAGGAGTCTTCTATGAAAGAGAGATTAGCGATCGAAAGATGATAGAAGTGAACACTTACGACCGAAGGGTCGTCCGACAACTCAGTGATGTCACGAGTTGGTACGGCGCCTAGCCGTCTTTTAATTTTTTCCTTTTCGCGGGCTCAAACCCGCGACCTCTGTACTACTTGCCTGATACGGACACATCATATCTACTGTACAATTAGATTAGATAGGACGGCAGTGCGCGGCACAGCTCGGCTCCACTGACACAGCCGCTCTGACTCACCGGCCCCCGGGGCCGCATCGGCATGCTGCGCACGGACCAGCTGCGCACGGACCAGCACGCACAGCCTCCCCTAAACTTCCCCTGTATATAAGCCTGCCTCTGCTGCCCTAGAGACCTCAGTTTCGACGTCTTGTCCCTAGGTCAGTAAGCTCATGTAGTACTTACCTACTTACCAATGCTAACTTATCTTGTCCCTAGCCTTAGGTTTGAGCCTAGCTCACCATCGCTTCGGTGAGATCCAGTCGAACGCCCCCCGCTTTCAGACATTCCCCTGTCACTTGACCTCAAGTCACGACATTAGGTCGAAACTCCCATAGCGGCCGGCGTTCATCGGAACCAAAAACACTCACATTCACTTCCTACAGGTCGGGTGGTGCGCACCCCTACGATACTTCACGGTACATACAATACATAGATAGCTTTACCATACATCGCCACCCCTCGAGGAACGAACTCTTCAACACCTGCACTTCAGTGGGCGGTGTTTGTCCTCATGGACGCGTGGTCTAGGTTCCTGCTGCATACTAGCCAAAAGCAGTACTGGGCCCCATGTGAACTGCGAACCTCACGGTCTTCTCGGGCACCGTAGCGTAAGCTAGTATAGTACGGCCATTTTTAGTACACGCACCTCCCCGTCCTTCCCCCATCCAACGTGGCTGCCTGCCAAGGCCAGATCCACGCATTCGACTCTCAGGACCTCGTCGACGTTTACATCCCAGACGGCCCTGAGACTGTCATCTATACTTGCAAGTAGCAGCCGTGCCCCAATCGGACACCCCGATCGATCGAGGAGGATTACTCTCGCTACAAAGCAATTAGACGGGCTCAACACCCCCTCGGTCCCCGCAGCACCCTCACGTCCCGATCTGCCTCGCGGCATTCTCACCCTGTCTCCCCCAGCTCCCGACTTCCTCAAACTGTCATCGCCGATCCAAGTCAAACGCGAGGAGATCTCCCTCCAGACCCTGCTCCAGAGCCTGAGCCTGAGGAGAGTGCAGGTGAAGAAGGAGTCCCGGAGCCCGAGTCCGCGGATTCTGCTCGGTCCGCCTCGCCAACAGCGCTTGCCCCCATGTCAGCAGTCCCTGACGTACGTGACCCCCCCGCCAAACTTTCTCCGGTGCCTTCACCACCGACTCCGCCGAGAGGCCGCTCGAGCACTCGTTCCTCTCGAAGTTCGACCAGCGGAGGGCTACTGTCGCGACTTGAGGTCAAGCAACAGGGAAAACCTAAAGAGCTGGGGGCATTCGACTAGATCTCACCAAAGCAATGGTGAGCAATGCTCAAACCTAAGGCTAGGGACAAGAATATATTAGTTAGTAAGGAAAGGTAAGTAAGTACAAGAGAGCTTACTGACCTAGGGACAAGAGGTCGAAACTGAGGTCCCTAGGGCAGCAGAGGCCGGCTTATATACATGGGGAGATAAGGGCAGGCTGTGCGCGCTGGTCCGTGCGCAGCATGCTGACGCGGCCCCGGGGGCCAGTGAGTCAGAGCGGCTGTGTCAGCGGAGTCCGAGCTGTGCCGCGCACTGCCGCCCCATCTAATCTAATCGTACAGTAGATAATGATGTAGTCCGTATCAGGCAAGTAGTACAGAGGTCGCGGGTTTGAGCCCGCAAAAAGGAAAAATTAAAAAAAGACTAGGCGCCGTACCAACTCGTGACAGCTACCACAGCTGCCTCCGCCCCCGCAGCGTCCTCCATCCCCCCCGACGCCGATAATGTCTTCCCCCTTGACCACCCCCGACAAGGACACCCTGAAACTCCTCCTCCCCCTCCAATGTGATGGCAAAACTGTCATCGAATGCGACAGGTTTCTGTCACAACTTCGCATCTATTGGTTGGTTAACATGTCGTTAACCACCATCGAACTTAAGGTGCAGGTTGCGCTAAGCCTGCTCGACGGTGACGCCCGCACCTGGGCCACTCCATACTTCGCCCAACTCATATCCGTGCAACTCAGAGTTCAGGGAGTAACGACCCCCTTCGCAAATGAGGCGGCCTTTGCCACGGCTTTCAGAGCCCGCTTCGGCAACCTCGATGATGAGGCAGCGGCCCAGGTAGAACTGGCCAAACTCTGCGCGGACAAGTCAGTCCGCGAAAAACGCACTGCTGCGGAGTTCTCCGCGCTGTTCAAAGGTCCGGCGGACCGCTCCGGGTACGGCGACCTGGAGCTACGTGACAAGTACTTGAGCGGCATCCCCTCCCGTGTCTACCACAAAATCGAGCTCGAAACGTTCACTACGTGGAAAGACGCTGACAAGCGCGCCACCGAGGTCAAGCAGATCCTCGACATCAGCCGGGCCCGTCGGCCCGAGCTAAACAACTTCTTCTCGGCCCGAGGTCGAGGACGCAGTGGGGCACGTGGTGGTGCACCCCCATCACACGGAGCTTCGGCCAGCATCAATGCGGCCGTCGGAAAAGGAAACTTTTCCGGCAGTTGTTTCGGCTGCGGGAAGCAAGGGTACCGACGTTTTGAGTGCCCTAATTGTAAGGACAAGCCTTACACAAAACGCGCCAACGCACAGGCTACGGTTGCCTCGGGCTCCACCCAGGCTGCGACAAGCGCCCCTGTCACGACAACACCCTCGGCAAGTATAAGTGCCGCTTCAGCGAAATCTGAGCAATCAGAGCTGGCGGACTTAATGGCACAGGTGAAGTCGATGCGCGAGGAGCTCGAACACTATTGGGCGATGAAGGAGGAGTCTTTTTGATCCAGTCCATGCTTCGTGCCACACGCGTCGGGCCGTGTAATAATAACATGTACAATGTATTGGCGACCACGAATGTTTATGAATTGGACCATGGGTCCCAGCACTTCCACATCCTGGTGCGCCTCAAAGGAGAAAGACGGCACAAAGATATAGTTGCAATGGTGGACAGCGGAGCCACCACGAAGTTTATCAACAAACGATTCATTGAAGACAATAAGGTGCAAACGCGGAAATTGAAAGAACCAATTCCTCTATACAATATCGACGGCACCCTAAACAAAGACGGAAGCATCTCGGAGGTAGCTGTGCTACAGATGCACATAGGAGAACACGTCGAGAAGACGGTGTTTACGGTCACGGACATCGGTCCAGAGGATGTGATCGTTGGGTTGGATTGGCTACGCGAGCACAACCCCGAGATCAATTGGGAGAAAGGCTCCCTCAAGTTGTCGCGATGCCCTGAAACATGCAGTGTCAGGAGAACCGGCCAAATGAAGCAAGCAGCGACTGCGCGTGATACAGGGGACAGGCCCACGGCGCGCAGGCGTTCGCCAAAACCCAAATGGTCGGTCATAGGTGCCTGCCGGAGCAAGGTGCTCCTGGACTTCGAACCCGAAGAGGATCCGGTGGAAATAGAGTGGGATGAGGCCGATTTGATCGAAGCCTGGGAGCAAGGCATTACGCTTCCCGGCGCTCCTCAGCTGTTTGTCGTGGCTGGACATACATACTCTCAGCTGTTTGCTGAGGAGGAGATCAGGAAGAAGGTCGTCAAGACCGCCGAGGAGTCAGTGCCCAAACAGTACCACGAGTTCCTGAAGGTCTTCTCAAAGGAAGCTTCGGAACGGCTACCCGAAAGGAAGCCGTATGATCACGCGATCGAACTCGTGCCTGGCTATTCGACATTCCACTCGAAGGTGTATCCCCTGTCAAGCAAAGAGCAGGAGGAACTGGACAAGTTTCTAAAGGAGTAGCTGGCGAAAGGCTATATACAGGAATCGAAGTCGCCCATCTCGTCCCCTTTCTTTTTCATCAAAAAGAAAGAAGGGACACTTTGACCCATGCAGGACTACCACCGGTTGAACGCAATCACCGTCAAGAATTGTTACCCGCTGCCGCTAATTGCTGAAATGGTAGACAAGCTCCGTGGTGCCACGCTCTTCACCAAGTTTGATGTCAGATGGGGATATAACAATGTCCGGATCAAAGCTGATGACGAGTGGAAGGCGGCCTTTGTAACTAACCGGGGGCTGTACAAGCCCCTGGTGATGTTCTTTGGTCTCACTAATTCCCCCGCGACCTTCCAGGCAATGATGAACGAGATCTTCCATGATCTTATCGTCGGTGGAAAGATCCTCGTGTACCTGGACGACATACTCATCTTTTCCACCAACCAGGAGGAACATGAGAGGGTCACACGCGAGGTTCTTCGCCGCCTTCAGGACAACGATCTATTCCTGAAGCCTGAGAAGTGCGAATGGGATGTTCCCAAGGTCGACTACGTCGGCTATGTGTTCGGTGGCGATGAGGTGGCGATGGATCCCGCGAAGCTAAAAGGAACCAATGAGTGGCCGGTACCCCGGAACAGGAAAGATGTTCAGAAGTTCCAGGGGTTCTCCAACTTTTACCGCCACTTCATTAAGGACTTCGCCAAGATCTCGCGACCACTCGACCGACTCACAGGGAATGACCCATGGCATTGGGGTGAAGAGGAGCAGCATGCCTTCGATGAGCTCAAGCGGCTCTTTGCGACAACCCCAGTCTTGGCGCTGTACGACCCTAACCGGGAAACGCGTATCGAAGTCGACACCTCGGGGTACGCCACTGGCGGCGTGTTGATGCAGAAGCAGGATGACGGCAAATGGCATCCCATCGCCTTCAGATCCCATGCGATGGATCCGGTGCAGCGGAACTACGAGATCTACGATAAGGAAATGCTCACGATCATCGAAGCACTGGATGATTGGTGCCATTACCTCGAGGGACTGCCCAATCAGTTCGAGATTGTCACCGATCACGAAAACCTCGAGTACTGGCGCACATCCCAGCATCTTACGCGTCGTCAAGCACGATGGTCGCTATTCCTGGCTCGCTTCGACTTCCGTATCACGCACAAGGCCGGGACATCCAATGGAAAGGCTGATGCCCTGTCACGTCGATCAGACCATCAGATCGGCGATGAGGACGATAACACCGATCAGGTGGTTCTCAAGCCAGAGCGCTTCCGCATCGCCTCCGCAAGGCGCGGTCACGCCTCGGTTACGGCTGATCAGTCGCTTCTGAAGTGCATTAGGGAATGTTCAGAAAAGGATTGGGAG